AAAAGGAGGTTGCAAGGTACATCAATAAAGTCATATTAATATATATTGATAAATCTCTTTATATATAAAAGAAAAAAAAATCTCGGGTGTTACAACAACTCATTTGGGTTGTTTACTTACAGCTTATTCGCACAGAACATGACTTAATCGTACAGATAGAAATGATGTGTTGTCCCTATTCAGCCACAAAAATGACACCCATACCCCTTATTTAAAGCACCGCCTCCTTTCCATATGAGACACCCCATCTTCGACATCTTTATGGATGTTCAAATAATTAATATTGGGGGGTAAATCGGTCATTTATATTATTCAGCCTGTTGGTTCAGATAAAAAAAGTAAACAACAGCACCCATTTATCCAGACAGACAAATTTATCCGGACAGACAAATTTATCCATACAGGACTTAATAAAAATTTTGGTAAACAGCCCCTTAGATATTAATTCCCCAAGATATTGGGTTATTTCGGTAATTTTATAAAACAAATACGTAAAGTATCGCTAAAATTCCGATTTCCAAATTGTAGGGTCATTTTGGAAATTTCATAAGGATTATATTCAAAACAAAACTTAGATACCAATTCCCAAAACATATGGTCATTTCAGTAATTTTATAAATCAAATACGTAAAGTATTGCTAAAATACCGATTTTCAAATATTAAGTCATTTTGATAATTTTATGAAGAGAAATAACTGAAATCGAGTAAAATATTCTGAAATCGAGTAAAATATTCATTTTATTACTCCCAAGGAAACTTGCTGAAATTTCTAGAATGTTAATATGGTCGAAATCACGTTTTCTGAACTTCCAAGATTATACTTAAATTGCTAAAACTTAAATGTCTAATAATAAGATAAATAAAATAAGAATTAATTGGTTATTCTTTAAGTTTTAAAGTTTTAAGAAGATGAAGAATTATTTTCTGAAAGTTGCAGAATAATTAATGATATGTTATATAAAAATATAGAGAAAATAAAAATAAAAACTAATATATGATTTTTTATTTTAAAGTTTTTATTAGATTTTTATACAGACAAAACCATACGACTTGATACACATGGTTAAAATTTATAAAATTACAAAATAAATAATATATTATTTTTAGAAATAACAAGGCATAT